AATACTGATACTTGGGCCCCATTTCAGACCAATTAAACCCAAGTGCTTGACAATGAGTTCTGAACTTCAAGTGTGTTTACAGATGTTTTCCAAATATTTCTAAAGTGTAGCTAGGGTTGAGGACTGCTGCCTTAGGTCAATAAAGTCTAAGAGGAAGAAACAGGGGGACAGGAAAAATACCCAAATAAGCTGCCATCTGAGATTAGGGGCTGCTGTCCTCTGCCCTGGTGTTTTGCCATCTGGCATTTGCAGGTCTGTGTGTGGGCTGAGGCTGGGAGGTGCACATGCCAGGGGGTTGAGGCTGGGTTTTGCAGAGGCCATCAAGGCTTAGATCTTGATGATCAAAGAGGCAGAATTAGGGAGCTGGGGCTCACTTCTTATTAGTGACAAATGACTAAACTTTGGATTTAAACTTCCAGAGAGTCTCTAAATTGAAGTGCTGAGGTACCACCCTGTAATGAAAAGAAATCACTTAGGAGTAAATACAATATTAAATAAGTTCATGGACAATTAAAAATTATTTTATATTTTGTGTATATATTATGTATATAAAAGGAGTAACATTATAAGAGAAATGAAAAGCCATCAAATTACTGGTATCTCAGGGTAAGTGCATGTGGTAGTTTTCTCTACAAGTAACTAGTATAGGCAGCCTGGTTTCTCACCTCCCACGGGAGAGCGATGATCCGGATAGGATGGTGCCTCTCATGGCCTCCTTTTCAGTCGGGCATCCTTTATCTGCCTTTTCCAGATCTGAGAAAGTATTCTTTTCTAGTAGAAAGGGAATATGAGCGAAAGCATTCTTTGTTTGCAGATTCCTGGGACATTTTCAAAGGGAGTGAATAAGTGACTGATGGTGAGAATCTGGTCTGATTTCATTTGTCTCCGCAGGGCCTGGTGGCAATTTAATATTCTTTATTATTATTTTACATGCAACTTCCTTCCTAGCTTATGATTCCTGTCAGGACTATGTATTATTACCCATTAGTCATTTCTCTTGGGTTGGCGCATAATGCTTCAAAGGAGGGCTGGTGTATTTCAGTAATTTTGCTTACAATTTGATTTGTGTTCCCTAGAATCCCAATTCAGTTTCATCAGCACATTTCAACATACAACAGCTGGGCCCCTGGATGGGCTCATTTACATACGTTAGCAGCTGAAAGCTAAGTGCAAGGAACTCAAATCTGGCCAGATTTTTTCCCCAGAACCTCACCTTACTGTTTGAAATGAACTTTGCCTTCCTATTTGTGACTATCTCAGTCAGTGATAATATCCTGTGAATGATTAGAGAAAAACAAAAACAGCCTTAGTCTCCAGGCACCTTTTGAGCTGAAATACTTTTATAAAAAGTCTTATAGGATAATCAGAGAACATGTTCTGTCCCTCTTCAGTGTCAGGTAAAAACATTACTCCCTTCCACTATAAATAACGTTATTATTAGATAAACAGTAGGAGAATCAGCTTTTTAATTGGTCGAGGATTGCCTTGAAGGCAGATAATCCATTAAACCATAAACATCATTGTGCCTGAGTCCCTGAGCACAACTCTCTAAACAGCTGATGTTACATAGCCATGTTATGAAAAAAGCCTTGTGTGAGGCTTTTGGGAAACTCAGGTTTCTTTTCACCATTTTTTTTGTTTATTTTTAAATTCTTTTTTTTTTTTCCTTTAAAGAACCAGTAAGAGGATTTTTAACCCTTGACTTGGTGTTGTCAGCACCATGCTCTCCTAATTGAGCTAACTTTTTTTGTTTATTTTTAAATTCTTTTTTTTTTTTCCTTTAAAGAACCAGTAAGAGGATTTTAAGCCTTGACTTGGTGTTGTCAGCACCATGCTCTCCTAATTGAGCTAAGTGGCCATCCCTATATGGGGATCCGAGCCCGTGGCCTTGGTGTTATCAGCACCACACTCTCCCAAGTGAGCCACAGGCCGGCCCTTTACTTTTAATTTCTCGAACTGTGGTCTTGGTCTGCATGATAGGCTAAAAATGCTGCCCCCACATCCCCAAGGTATCTGCATCCTCATTCTTGGAACCTGTAATTGTGAAAAAAGTGTTTTTGCAGATGTTGATTTAAGGACTTTGAGATGAGGAGATTATCCTGGGTTATCTGGGTGGGCCCTAAAATGCCATCACATGTGTCCTTATAAGAGAGAGGGTCAGCACCATGCTCTCCTAATTGAGCTAACTGGCCATCCCTATATGGGGATCCGAGCCCGTGGCCTTGGTGTTATCAGCACCACACTCTCCCAAGTGAGCCACAGGCCGGCCCTTTACTTTTAATTTCTCGAACTGTGGTCTTGGTCTGCATGATAGGCTAAAAATGCTGCCCCCACATCCCCAAGGTATCTGCATCCTCATTCTTGGAACCTGTAATTGTGAAAAAAGTGTTTTTGCAGATGTTGATTTAAGGATTTTGAGATGAGGAGATTATCCTGGGTTATCTGGGTGGGCCCTAAAATGCCATCACATGTGTCCTTGTAAGAGAGAGACAGAGGGAGATTTGAATACAGAAATAATAGGAGGAAGCCATATGACCAAGGAGTCAGACAATTGAGTGATGTGGCTGTAAGTCCAAGAATGCTGTAGCCAACAGAAGCTGTAATAGCAAGGAATGGATTTTCCCCTTTACCTCTGGAGGGAGTGTGACCGGGCCAACCACTTCAATCTCATCATAGTGAAACTGACTTTGGACATCTGGCCTCTAAATTGTGAGAGAATAAATTTCTGTTGTTTTAAGCCACTAAATTTGTGGTAATTTTTTACAGAAGTCATAGGAAACTAATGTAGTTTATTAAGTTTACTCTGTGGTTCTTGGACAAATAGTTTATTTATAGAATTCATAATTCTAGTATATCAATGTCTGTGTTTTTTCTTCTGGAAGTGAATTGTTAATTTACTTTTCATTTGGTATCTCATTTATGACTCACCTATTCTACTGAGTTCTTTCTCAGTAAGAATGGCAAGTGGGGACCAGTAGGGGAGATGAACTGTAGGATCGTCTGATGTGCTGGAGGAATCCCCAGATGTGGCACAAATGTGAATAAGTGACCTAGAAGTGTTAAGGGAAATTGAGGGGTTCCACAGCCTAAATCCAGGTTCTTGGTATCTCAAACAAAGAATTGGACAAGACACGCCAGAGGTGAAAAGCAAAGAACAGTTTTATTTAGCAAAGTGAGGATACACTCCAGAGAGGATGGAGCCAGCTCCAGCAAGAGAGTGGCTCAAGACCCCCGACAGGTACATTCCAGGGGTTTAATCGGTTAGCTGGATTCGTGTCATTTGGTCATTGGTTGAGCCCTGAGTGTAGTCTCAGTTGATTGGTGCCCTAGCTGGTGGGAGCTCATTGGTCCAACCGGATGGTGCCCAACGTGGTGGCGGAGCTCCCTGTCTGGAATTGTCTTTGTCTCCTGTGGCCACTTTTGCTCATGTGCATGCCTACTTCCAGTTTTCCCACTCGCAAGTAACCAGGTTTCCTCCTCCCACTCCTGTCTCTATCTAACTTCCTGTTTCAGAAGATTCATATTCAGAAGGAGAGAGAATATTCTTTGCTATATATTGAACTTTTATCATTTCACCATTTTACTTTCCTTTCCAGTTTTCATGAGGTAGATACACCCACTGTATTTTATCCACATACAATAGTGTTCTACAAGATACCTTAGAATTGGAATTACAGTCTTTGGAGTGGATATTGTTCTGAGTTATAGATTATTGTAATTTGGGGCTGAAGTTGGGAAAATACAACCAAGACGTCCTTATCCTCTTTAGTCAATGGCAGAATACTGTCAGGCTTCATTTGACTTTGTCTGCGGTTATTTGGCCATGATTCACTGGGCCCAACTCGTGAGTTATATGATACTGTGATGTAGGTGTGAGCGAGGATAACAGGGATCCTTGGGGGAGCCTGTTTCTACAGAAGTTGCAGTGCTCAGTGAGATGTTTCAGGAAAGCTAATGGATTTTTAGTTTCAGCCAAAGGTCCTGGAAATACGGATAAAAAAAACCGCCAGAGATTTAAAAAATGTTCTTCATAAAAGTACTTCATGAATTTTTCTATTCATGAAGAGAAACATAATTCTTTTTTATAATCATTGGTCCCTCATAAGATAATAACTGCTTCTTATATGAACAGTCAGAACTTTATAATAAAGTTAGAAAAACTGAAATGATTTTCTTTTGCAAAGAATTTCAGTATGTGCTATAGGTGGCTATAAGTCTGCCAAAAAATATCACCAAGCCAGTATTTTTGAAGACTTACACTTTCATAACAAAAATGATTAAATAAATTCTCAGTTAAATGTAAAAAAAAATAAAATAAAAAAAAATAAACCTTTAGCTAGACTACGAAAGAAAAAGGAGAGAAGACACAAAGAAATAAATCAGAAATGAGAAAGGAGACATTACAAATGACACCACAGAAACACACAGGATGATAAGAGACTGCTATGAATAATGTGGGAGGGAAAGGAAAGATGCCACTTTTCCAGCCCCAAACTAATCAACTAAAAGGTAGACATGGAAGAGAAGATGGGGCAAGCCTGGACCCGATGCTGGCTCCTGCTTGGAGGAGGAATCCAAGCCAGCCCAGGCTCCAGCTGGACCCCTCGCCCATGCCAGGAGCCCTCCAAGCACCTGGCTCAATTATCAGGGTCGAACTTCACCCCGACCTTGACTCGATTTATAAGTGGGAAGGTGATTGAGAGCATTGTCTGGGTGCCCAGGATGCAAGGGCACCACCTTGGAAACCCTTTCTCAGAACCGTTGGTGTGGGCCGTGGCAAAGCCAGGCCCCTTTGTAGGACCCCAGCCTGAGGACCGGCCCCCGTCCATGGAGGAGGCACCCTCTAGGCCTGGGTTTGGTCCTTTTTGCAGGAGGAAGAGGGAGTAGACTGGGGGTTGCTGCCAGCAGAAAGCTACGGCTGTGGCTTTGTAGGGCAGGGGCGGCACTCCCTAGTGGGTGTGACCCACCCTTGGGGAACAGGGGCAGGTGGCTAGAGTCGGATGGACACACTGACCGAAGTGAAGACTGCCCTGCCCGGGGCTGCTGCCTTGCAGCACTCTGGTGGGAAGGTCGGAATGCAGCCCAGGGACATCAGAACCTTCACAAACGTCTCCAAGGGCAGCTGTGATCACGAGCACTGGCGCAAGTTTGTCCAGCGCGAAGCTGAGATAACCGGTACGTGCTGGGCTGTGCGTGATGGGGGAGCCGGGGCTCCGCACTGATGCGGGACCGGATTAATATCCTGCATAAAATTGGAAACACACTAATCTCGTCCCCAGAAGAGGAGGAAAAGCCCTTGAGGGATGTTTGCTCTTCTGATACCCCATAACCAAAATACTATGAAGAAAAGTGACCAGTCCTTGGATACTGATACACAGCAGCACAGCTTTAGTTACGTGATAAGGGACTGAGAGCGGGAAGAGAACTGGACATTTGCTCGGTGCACGTATGTGCACGCAACCGTGCTTATAACAAAATAAGGGGGAAGCCCTCTTGGCAATGACAGTCCTTGTTTCTGCACCAGGTCAGGTGGTCGTCGCTGGAGTTTATAACTTCCATCTCCTGCTACCCGCCCTGTATGACACTGGCCTTCAGCGAGCATCTCAGTTGGTCATGGCTTGGGGGTGGGTGTCGGTTTCAACATTTAGGGAGAGACAGCCCAAGTCCTTGCCGTGGGTGGCCCGTTCTCCCTGGCTACCCTCCTGCACCCCCTCACTGCCACCCCAAAATGGGTCAAAAATGTCCCAGTGCTGGAGTAAGCAGGACTGAAGCCATGTTGGGACCTAAAACTGCATGGGTCCTAACAGATTTTAAAGGACACTTTTTTTTTTTTGACAAGCGTTTCTCTGAGTTCCCCCTTTTCTAATGGTTATTTGATATTTTGAGCCTTGGTTATGGGCAGGACGATGTTATTTACATGAACATAAAGTTGTTTCCCAGACAGCTTGGCAATGGTGACTGGCATGTACTGCGCAGACCCGGACGGAGCAGCAGGAGGGGAGAGAAATGAGACGGCGTCTCGGCGAGGCTTTGCCCTGGCTCCTCGCATGAAGTTCTCTGGAGCACGTGCCCCTCCCTCCGGGTCTTCATTGCCCAGGTTTTATTCCCTTGGCCCCTCTTTAAAACCCCCTCAGTAAACCAGAGTCTGTGAGATGGCTCTAGCCTTGCCGGTGTCCTTCAGGTTTACTGGAGAGATGGGTTCGCCCCTCATCTCTCCCCAGGTCACCGGTGTTCCTGAGTAAGAGCCGACTTCCGTTGTCACCAACATTTCACTTCTGAGTGGTTTTCTTTTGAAAGGGGGCAGGGGCCGGACCTGCCTTGTAGCAAATGTTTGTGAGCCGACCCCGGAGCTGAGTACCTTGGGTGGCCTAGCCCCCTACTTTCGTGAGAGCGAGGTTAGTCCCCCTGTGGGGGCCAGCTTCCTGTGGTAGGTCACCCCCTGGCTGGGACTTTTGGGACTTTTCCTCATTTTCAACAGCAGCGTAACTACAGATTGACAGCCTTCAGTTGGAGAAGGGAGCCAGTGTTGGTGGGGGAACGACAGGAGCTCTGAGCTGGCAAGTCCCTCCAGGAGCCCTCGTTTCTACGCCGTTTGTTTGTTAAAGGTTCTGGTAATGAACGACTTCCAAAGATTCCGCTTCACTGTCAGCCTGCACGTGAGAGGCTGAGTCAGTGGGGTCATCCCAATCCCATGTGGGACTGGGCGCTTGCAGCTACGAGACTGCCAAGCACACTTGCCTGACAGAACCTAAAGGGAAACCTTTTGATTTTGGAAGATGTCAACTGGGCGACAGAGAGTAAAGTCCCAACTGCCTCCTTGATTGACTGAGTTCCAGGGTGTATGGAGGGAAACGCATTAGGCAAAACAGGATGCTTTGAGTGATGTGTCAGACAAGACATTGCTCTGAGAGACGGGTACAGGCTGCAGGATGTCTTCAGGTGTGATGGACGCTGCTTCCAGTTGCCTTAAGAAACTCAGAGAGAAGGAAAAAAAACAGTTTCTTTTTGATCATCAGGTATTTAAAGACCAAAAGGTACAAACTTAATTACTCAAACCCAGACAGACAGAGCCCTCCAAACACACACAACGCCAGCTTTTATGTCCTTGAGTCATTCCTCACACACAAACGGTACCTTTAACAAACAAACAGCATTTGTCACAACCTCCATTCTACCCGTCACCATGAGGTCCCCTCGTCCAAAGTCTGCAGATCCCCTCTGACGGTCCCATTGTGGATCCGCCTCCGGGACTGCGCTCCCTCCTGATGGGGATACGAGATACTCCTGGGCTACTGCCAAAAAGCCGAGTCTCCTAGAGAAAAGAACAGGGACGTCGTAGCTAAGCTGGCGAGGGGTGGGACCCACTTTGGTCCTTCAAGGGAGGTGCATATTGCTTCCTCCGAGTATTCAGTGGCATGAGCTTGAGCAGACCCACTCCTTCCTGGGAAGGAGACATAACAGAAACAGTGAGGAAGGTTGCAAAGCACGTGAGGTTCAGCACACACGGGGAGTGAAGCCCACGGCGGAGGAGCAGAGGAAGGAGACGGACGCTCTCACGGGCCCACTCCTCCTCACTGCGCGAGAGCAGAGACAGGCAAGAGTGTTTTCTTTCTGTTCTGGACGTAAAAGCTGACCAGGCACCCGGGTTAGTTGTTGGTATTCCCAGCACACACGAGAAATTGCATCCAGAGCCCAAAGGTGCTGGTCACTATAAAGAATGGGGACCCTGGGGGCACTCGACTGGCAGCTTCTCATTCTAATTAAGACCATTCTAAGTATTAACTTTACTGATTCCAGAAGGCTTAAAGTTTTTATCCATTTCTTCAAATAAAAGTGCTGATAGAATTTAATTTATGTATAAGTTTTTCTTTCCGACCTGCTCCAACAACCCCACAAAACACATCTTATTAAGCAGCCTAATGGGCGAAAATCCGGAGTCGACCGGACGATAACAGTATTTGCTATGGGGACAACCAACCTAGGTTTTCGAGAGGCAGAATGTTTCCATACACAAAAAATATGGGAAAAGAACAAAAGCTGATAGCCCGAACGATGAAGTACCGAAATAAAAGGCTGGTTCCTCCAGAGCAGGCAGCCTAATCGAATTCATCATCTGTCCTGATAGCCTGATGCAACGTGGAGCAGCACAGTTTGAGATCCGAGCTTGAGGTCAGAAATGGTTACCCGTGAAAGGGAACGGTTACCCCCAAATGGTGCCAAGACTGGGAATGCTTACCCCAAAACAAGGAATGGTTACCCAGAAATGGTGGCACCCTGCTGAAACCAGGAATGGCTACTTGAAAATGCAGAAGAAATCTACTTGCGTGTTTGATGGCCTGGGATCAGACGGGAAGGGTTGGTCCCCTAGTGTTTCAAGGTGGTCCCTAAGCACGTGGCTGCATTGACAAAGTCCTGGCTGCTAGGGACACTATTTCATTTCCCTCCTGGGTGGCTCAGCAATGACACTGGAAGAGAGGGTCTGGGGAGGCTAGATGGCTGGCCTCAACCCACCCTGTCTTCTCCCAGGTTCTTGACTGCACCACAGGAAAGAATTCAAGAGCAGAGTCACAGTAGAAAGTGAAAGCATGTTTAACGTAAAGAGTAAGAGACACAGACTTTATAGGGAACATGCGGCCTAGCTCCAGAGATGGAGCGGCAGCCTCGGCAAGTTCAACACAAAAGTAAGAAATACACACAAAGTCTAGTGCAAAGTGTAGGCTGGCTCAAAAGAGTGAGCAGCTGCCCGCTAAAAGTAAATTTAACACAGAAAGTGAAGCACACAGGCTTCACAGGAGAGGCGCAGGCTGGCCCCAGGGAGAGTGAACAGCAGCCCCATCTTCTACCAGAATTCAACCTTTAGAGTTCTGCTCTCGATATGTATTCACAGTATCTAATGAATATTCAAATAAGGGGGTGGTTCCGTTATATGACCTAGTCCTCTATGTGCTCATTTAGTCTCTTTTAGAGCAAGTTCATTGGTTAAATTCCAATATATTCACCAAAAAACACTTCAAAATATTCAGTGCTCTCCAGTGCCCCCGGTGGAAGGTCATTCAAAGGATAAATTCCACTTTACTGAGCATATTTGACCCTGGAAATTATGGAAGTCTGCATAAACTCCTCTCTACTGAGCATGCTCAGCCTCTGGAATTACATGTCTGCCCCCTGTAGTCTCAGTCTACCTGTGTTGGTGCCCCAAATAGGTGCCATTAGCCACAATGACTCTCCTCTAGGGGAGAGCCTAGAGGAAGGGCCTGAGACTGTGGGAAGTGACTTGAAACTCAGAGGAGTGTCCTAAAACCCAAACCCCAGGAAACTGAGCACCTCCTGTCTCATCATCATGGCCAATGCCATGGGTCACAGAGGCACGTCCATGGAGACAACAGGTGCACTTCTCACCAAGGGAAGCACACGCAGGGCTCTGGTCAGCAACCAGCATTGACCGAGCACAAGTTCCAGACCAGCACAGCCCTACCACAACCTGGGGAGCAAGGACTCAGTGCTTTGTGGTGACTCTGGGCTGATGTGGCCCACAGATGAATGGGGCGGTCTCCTCTGAGCCCAGCACAAGAGAAAAGTGCCCCTGGGATCCCCAAAGAAAGCACTGGGCCAGGAGCAGCAATGACCACGATACCATCAGGCTACCACACAGGAGGCCCAGGCAGCAGCAGGGTCCCAGGCAGACAGGCCCCTGCCCCAGGAGTGAGTTAAAAAACTTTCCATTCTGGTTTAAGGAGAGTGTCCTCGAGAGACCTCAGGTGTCCACAGGAGGACCCTCCAGGCATCGGTAGTACCCACAACTCCACCCCAACCAGGCATAGTCTCCTGTCCAGCAGCCTTCTGGCCAGGCTGGACACTGCCAGCCACCCACAGCTCACTGTCTTTGCCTATCAGAAGGACACAGATGTAAGTGGAAGCAGAAGAGGACAGAATAGTCCGGAATGAAAGGGCACGTTAGTCTACAAGGCCCTTCCTCCTTGCCATACCTTGAACCAAAGACATACCCTAAGGAGAAAAAGGCAAGAACCTTACCCAGCAAAGGAAAGAATTAGAAATTAGTAATCAGGAACAAAAAGTCCCTCACTCATCTGGAAACATGCTCCCCAGGAGCCTGCAGCCATCTGTGGGCACCAGAGCTGGGGAGGCAGCTCCTGTGGCAGAGTCCAGCAACCCCAACTTCCCTGGCATCGCCCACTGTGGGAGGGGAGAGCCCTGACTTTCTGAGCCCCCGCCAGGGCACCGCTGTGTGCTCACCGCCAGGGTCTTCCCACTGCAGCCTTGGGCCAGAGGATCTTGTGGCCCTGTGGGCAGGCACCCAAGTCCTCACTGGCCAGGACAGGGGTTCACATGTGCTCTTGTACAAGCACAAGCAGAATCTGAAAGAAAGTGAGCCAAGATGCTGGGTATTGTTCAAGTTTTATTAAAGAAAGAAATCTGCTGGGCTGTGCTCAGAGTGGCAGGCAGCCCAGGGCTGCCCTGAATATGGGGGACAGCACCAGGTGTGGGGGTGGTAGAGCTTAAATAGTGCGTCAAGGGCTGGCTGATACCATAAGGAGGGGCATTATGCTAATGTGGATCAGGATGGAGAACTGAGTCCATGGGCCACGTTCTACCCCGACTTCCCAGAGACCCAGCACAGCCTGGGCCAGGCGTGTGGACCCAGGAGGCTGGTGTGGGGCCCAGGGCACACTTATGACCCCTTGGGGAGGAAGGTGGCTGTGGGAAGGGCCTCACAGGCCCTTGGAAGATGGGGACATGGGGGCAGTGTCACTACCCAGCCAGGCGAGGGGCTGTGGCCACATCTGCCCCTTGGTGCCATGCACGCTGTGTGCCCTTGTGCCTCTGTCTTTCCAGGGCCACTCCAAGCTTTGCTGCCCTGCTGACATCAAGGAGAAGAAGTGTGGGGCCCGGTGCTCCTACCCAGAGGTGCGCCGCTCTGCCATCCTGAGTGCCTCTGAGCAGCGGGACTTTGAGCAGAAGCTTGCCCTGTCTGCAGTGAGACTCTACTGTGACTTTAAGGAGGTGGGTGTGAGCCCTGCCTGGGAGAGGGGTCTCGGGTCTCCTGTAGCCCAAACCACAGGCCCTGCCCTGCTAATGGGGTAGGACTGAGCCCTGGGTCCCAGGGACGATGACATTAGCACTGCAGCCCTCCCTGCACGGCTGTTCCCCACGGCCCCTTCCTCCCCTGTCCCGGGCCCTTACCTTCCTGTCGGGGGGCCAGGGCTGCCCTCTGCCTGCTCTGAGAAGCCCACGCTCCCCACAGTGCCCGGGCTGCAGAAGCCTCGTGGAGAGGAAGGACCTGACCTCGTTGCGGGTGTTGTGCACAATCTGCACCTCCACGCGGGGGAAGGATTACGAGTTCTGCTGGCAGTGCCTGAAGGCCTGGAAAGGGCCTGGGACATCCTCAGTCCGCTGTGGCAACGAGGGCTGCAGGGACCAGATCCTGCACATCCTGGCCACCTGTGCCACCAAGGACCTCCCTGACAGTGAGGTCCGAGGCTGCCCTTCCATCCGGGCCTGCCCCACGTGTGGGCTGCTCATCGAGCACAAAGAGAGGTGCAAGTATGTCATGTGCCCCCAGTGCCATGTGGAGTTCTGCTTCGCCTGCCTGGAGACCGCGCAGGCCTGCCAGGCCACCAGGCCAAACAGCTGGTTTAGGAAGTGCACCAAGTCCCTGGCCCCGCGGCAAAGCCACGTTCCCGTGTGGAGCCAGCTGCAACAGAGAAGTCCACGTGAAAGCCACGTGGACCATGGCAATAACCAGCAACAGCATAATCGTCCTCCAGTAGACAGTGATGGGAGGTGTGTGATTCTGTGAGTGGTGCTGGGCCAGGCAGCTCCCTGTCTCCCAGCTCCATCCTTCCTGCCTGGGCCTGAAATGTCTTTCCTCTGCCGTGTGTCCCCAGCCCTTTCAGAAACAGAGCTGTTGGGAGGCACCCGTTAATCTGTGTCTGATATCCAGCCACATGAGCATGTAGACACCACTCTTGAGAGCTGGGGGTTCAGGGCACTGTAGGGAGAATGGCACGTTCATGGTTATCTGAGTGAACAAGGGAGAAGCTGAATAGTTGGCTCAGGTGGAAAACTACAGAATGACAGATCCGTAGCTAGAGATCACAGGATGGGTGGGTGGGTGCGTGGATGGATAGGTAGATGGATGGATGGATAGATGGAAGGATGGATGGATGGATGGAAAGGTGGATGGAAGGGTGGATGGATGGTTGGAAGGATGGATGAATGGATGGGAGGAAGGATTGATGGATGGATGGATGGATGGATGGAAGGATGCGTGGGAGGATGGATGGGTGGGTGGATAGATGGATAGGTGGGTGGGTGATGGATGGACAAATCAGCACCCAGGACAGCACCCAGCTGACCTGTCCTGCACCTTTGCTTTGGCGGCACCGGCTCCCCCACCCCCACCTCCCCTCCCAACAGGACTAAGTTCCTACTCTTGGGGTCCCGGGCAGACTCGAGGGCCCCATGTTATGGCACCAGGGCCGCCTTGGGTCCTTTTGGTCCCCAGCACAGACATGTGCGTTCCTGATGCTCCCTGGACAGGGAGGGGTCAGGGGACCGAGATGGACTTTGAAAAAACCGGAACCTGCCGGTCTGCCTTGGCTGTGAATAAGGACCCCTGTCCCTTTGGAGGGACGGCCCAGGACAAGCTGGTGGGGAGTCCCTGCTCCGCTGAGCCTGGATGTGCCCTTGGCTGCTTCCTCCTGCCTGTGTGTGATCCCAGGTTGGAGCTGGGATGGACGTGACATGGCAGCCCCAAGTTGGGCAGCTGGTCTAGTGGTTCTCAGCTCCTGGGTGGCTTCAAACCACCCCTCAAGTTCTGTTTGGCAGAGGGATGAAGGGGCCCGAGGTTCCCTGGCCTGGATGAGGAGACCCCTGGGCCCTTGACGGCCTCACAGGAGCCTGGCCCTGCCACTCCTCAGGTGGCCAGTGGGCACAGTGACCCTTCCTCTCACCCCTGCCCCATCTGTCCTACTGTCTTTCCTGACAGCCCAGCCCCCACATCGGGAGGGCCCTTCCTTCAAGTGCCAGACCCAAGAGAGACAAAATGGGAACTGGAGGCGCTAAGCTGGGGGAACAGGGTTTGGGGCCCCCTAGGCAGATCCCACCTTGCACCTGCACGTCACGCTGTGCACAGCAGGGCTGGCCACTCCCGGCAGCCCTGCCCTGCAGACGAGAAGGCAGGGAAGCAGCCTCCCAAGCAAGGGGCACCTGGGCACCCATCCCCACCCTCCTCTGCCCCCAGTCCAGGCCCGTCACACAGTCACAAGGGTGGGGGTGGGACCTGTCCCTCCATGTACACCCCAGCCCCCAACGAGTAGCAAAGTGCTCCACAGCCACCCACGGAGGCCAGAAGATGGGACCCAGCCTGTCCTCACTTCCCTCCTGTCCGTCTGCCCACAAGGAGCCTGTGGGGAGGGCGCAGGTGGCACGGCATGCTCCCACAGCCAGCTGCCTTCGTCACCCGGGTCCTGTCTGCCCAGGGGTCCTTCAGGGCACTGAGTGGGAGTCTGAGTCACCAACCCTCCGAGCCCCGGTGAATGAGTCAGAGATCGGCCGAGAAGCAGAAGCGATGGCATCACGTGCACAGGGAGATTTGTTAAGGGCATTGGCTCATGT